CATGGAGGGATGGATACTGGGAAGAGGTAACTATGAGGAGGGAGGGGGAGGGCAGCTGTTGCATTGTGGTAAACTGTGGTCAATGTCATGAGACAAAGTATATGTGAATTGCTGTATGGAAAGTGAATTTGCTCTGTAAATCTTCATCCAAATAATAAATAAATAAATAAAAATAAGCCTGCTTCAATTTTGATAAATGCTTTCCAAGGTCCCTTCTGTTTTGGTCATTCACTTTAAATAGCCTCTTTATCCTCTCTAGAGTCTCCTCTTTTCCTGTCTGCTATGGAACACTTCCATATCAGAATAGCTTACTAGCTTATTATTTCCCACAGGAAAAACCAGAACAAAAAGAGGAAGTTGGGATATAAAATAAGACAAAAATAAGAGCCATTAGCAGAGGGCTCTGAGGTAGTGATATAGCCACACAGATAATTGGCTGACAGAGAATACTGTGCTTTCCCTTCTTAGCTTGGTACGGCAAGGAAATGAACATGCCTGCTGCATAAGTACTTCTGAACCTCTAGGGGAAGCCTGACCATTCCACCTCAGATCTGCTACAGGCAATGGACAGGTTAAGCCAAAGACAAGTCAAATTGTGAAATTCAAACACATTCCTGTATTCCCTTTTATTGCCATCTACAATAAAAGAATTACCAGTTCTAAGAATTCAGAACAGGCAACACTTGATGTTTAATACATTCCCTAAAAGGTTAATTTTGTTGTTATTGTAGGTGGCACTGAGTCAGTTCCAATTCTAACTCACAGTGACTGTATGTACAACAGAAGCAAACACTGCTCATTCCTGCACCATCCTCACTATCACTGCTGTCTGAGCCCACTGCTACAGCTACGGTGTCTATGATGAGGGCCTTCCTTTTTTGCTGACCTTCCACTTTACCAAGCACGATATCCTTCTCCAGGAACTGGTCCCTCATGATAACATGTCCAAAGTACATATTTAAAAAAAAAAAACTCATTTCTAGGGAGCATTCTGGCTTTACTTCTTCCAAGACAGTTTTGTTTATTCTTCTGGCAGTCCATGTTATATTCAGTATTCTTTGCCAACATCATAATTCAAATGCATCGATTCTTTGGTCTTCTTTATTTACTGCTTAGTTTTTGCATGTATAGGAGGTGACTGAAAATACCGTGGCTTGGGTCAAGTAAAACTTGGTCCTCAAGGGGAGATCTTTGCTTAGTGAAGTTTACTAAGTTACATCTTGGTAACATTACTAATAGCTAATCTTTGTATGGGTATGTCTGCCCATACAAAGTTCATGTAGTTACTAATGCATCCATGGGTCAAATAAGACTATATGGAAATGTGGTTAGATTTCTCCATATTTCAAATCAATGATCGTAATGTTAATTATAAAAGCTGCCATAAAAACCCACTTATTTTTCTTTTAAAGAAATCATAAATTTTCTGAATCAAAATGATCTGGAAAATATATCTAATCTGTTTCTCATCTTTAGGGGAGGCAGTAACTATCCTCTCCTGTTCCAATACTTCATGGGTTTTGGTTATGCCAATATTCAGAAAGTAGTAGTAACTAATGGCTTATAAATATTCCCTACCTAACTATTGTTTTCCCATTTCCTGTTCGTGAGGAGATTAATTTATTTTGCCTTGGCATCACTGACTAGAGATGATTATAATTTTTCTGAAGTGATTTTTGGTTAATCTGTAACAAAAGGATTTTGGTCAAACCAAAACCAAACCCATTGCTGTCAAGCTGGATTCCTACTATAGTGACCCTGTAGGAGCTCTGGTAGCATAGTGGCTAAAGCACTTGACTGCTAACCAGAAGGCTGGTGGTTCAAACCCACCAGCCACTCCTTGGAAGGACAGTTGGGCAATCCTACTTCCGTAGTGATACTGCCTCGGAAACCCAAGGAGGGGTTGCTATGAGTCGGGGCCAACTCGACGGCACACAACAACAACAACCACCACCACCTAACTACAATCCAGAGGAGTCCTGGTGGTGCTGTGATTAAGTGCTCATCTTTAATGAAAAGGTCAGTAGTTCAAACCATCAGCTGCTCAACGGGAGAAAGATGTGGCAGTCTATAAAGGTTTACAGACTTGGAAATCCTATGAAAAAGTTCTATTCTGTCCTACAGGGTCACTATAGTTGGAATCCAGCTTGACAGCAATGGGTTTGGTTTTGGTTTGACCGAAATCTTTTTGTTACAGATTAACCAAAAATCACTTTAGAAAAATTATTATCATCTCTAGTCAGTGATGCCAAGGCAAAATAAATTAATCTCCTCACGAACAGAAACTGGGAAAACAATTTTAAAAAAGACCTAAGGAAGTCTCAATTTTGTTACTATAACCTTGAGCAAGTTAAAGTTTCTTTGGGTCTCTGATTTTTCTTCTATTTAAATAAGGGTTATATTAAATCTCCTATGATTTTACATTGTCCAAGTAATTACTTTTCTGATTTGTAACATAAGCTGTTGATTACTTACGGTAGTTTCATTCTCATGAAAACTCTAGCCATAAAGAAACTCAATAGGACACAGACGAATCCAATGAATAGAAGAAGAAATCTATTCAGTTTTGGAATGTTTGGTGCATTCGATCGGTCCAGGATTATGAAACCTAAACCTCCCATTGTAAACAGGAAGCTGGAGGCAAGTCCTTCCATAATATATTGTCCATTTACTCTGAAAGAGAAAGAAAAGACCTTAGTGAAATAATAAAAATTAACAGAAAGAATTTTTTTTTCTTCAGAGTGAAATTCCTACTCCTACTTGGTTCCACAAATTTTGTGTGGTAACTTTTTATTCTTACCCTTAAAACTATTTTACTACATCTCTGGACAGTCATTCGTTCATTCACTCATTTACAGAGAGCCTATTACACATGTAACAAACACAGGTGTAGGTGCTAGAGTTACAACAGTGAACAAGAAACAAAAATCTCTGTCCTTTTAGGGCTTATGTTCAAAAAAACTTTTAAACTTCAACTATCACAATTATTTCATAAATTCAACACTTAAAATTTTATTGTTAGCTAAAAATAAACCTAATTATTTCATGTATATGAAACCTTTACTCAGAACTTTAGCTTTTAAAAACTTTATGCTTCTTTAAATTTATACTATCAATTTCAAATTAGTTTTTAACTGTTTAGAAATGTTTCTTGAAGTTTTAGGGTAATAATTAGTAAAAGTAATTTTTTTTCAAAGTGTTCGTAATTAAGCCTCCATGACCCCTGACAACGACTATGAATGGGCTTCAGAGCAATCAGTAAACTCTTACAATTATAAGCAACTTTGTATGTATAGATGTGTTATCTGATCTTTCTAGAGATACAATGCTTTCAACAAATTCTCAAAGTTCATGATGCCCAAAAAGCTCATTTCTGTTATTCATGCATACATACAGAAGGTGTATGTTTTTGTTAACTAAATGTTTCAACTGAAAACACAATTATATACACCAAGTTCAGAATTCAAACAGCACAAGGGGGCACTGTGAAAAGTCTCCCTCCCATCAGGATTTCCTGTCATCCAAATCCCCTCCCCAGAGAATCACAATTATCTTTTCAGAAATGTTCTATGCATTTAACACCATTAATGTAAAAGTAAACATAAATTTATAGGTATGTTTAGGTAGACAGATACCAACTAGATTTTAGAAAGCAATACAATTAAGCATTGCTAAGATGAACCAAACCACACTGGAAAGATGAGTCATTGCTGAAACCAAACACCCTAGTCTCAAAAATTATTCTTCTTATTTATTGTTATAGTCTATCGGTCCATGCATTTTTTTTTGTCAAGTGATCACACAGTAAATATTTTCTAGCTTGCAGGACAAATGGTTTGTGTCGCAGGTACTCAATTTAGCCACTGTAGCTCAAGAGCAGCCAGACAGTTTATAAACAAATAGGCATGGCTTGTTCCAATAAAACTTTATTTACAAAAAGGTAGCCATAGTTTGCTGACCCCTGAAATAGTCTATAAGTATATTTTAAACGGATGACTTCCTTTAAACAGGTGGTCACATTAATCATCGTGAAGTATCTGATATCCTTGAAATAAATTTAATATACTTCTACTCCTGCCCTTGTCCCACTTTCTGCCATCTACAAAGTCAGCATTTTAAAATATCTGTTGTCTAAATCCAAACCAACCCTAAAGGTTTCATCTCATTTTTAATAAGCAGCCATGTCTCAGCAACCTATTTTCCCACCACCAAATCATTCAAAAGGTATCTTTTACCTGTAGGCCAAGAAAGCTACTGGCCTCTGATGTCCATGTTCATCTGTCATGGAGCCAACACTTGGAGGTTCCACAATAACATCATAAATTATTCCTATATCAAAGGCAATAGTACAGATTAAATAAGAGTCCTAATTTTTAAAACAGGATTACTTTTCATTTGTCTCTAAGGCTCATTTGTATTTAAATAGGACTGCTTTGACTGCATTACTACAGCAAATGAGACCCAACTTATCTCTTACGCTTCAATTTGATAAACCATTTAGAAATTCAACTCACTGTTTTAGCATGACTTGTAAAACATTATCTCTAAAGGAGGTAGGAATTTCATGAAAGAAATCAGTAACCATATATTTGTAATAACAGACTCTGTAGTTAAGGAGGCTTAATATTTTAAGGCTGTATTTTGGCTAAAAGAAAATGATCCACGTGTGGTTGAAATGTGTTTTTTATAAACTGAGAGATAACTAGAGAAATTTCCTAACTTAAATGTAAAACAAGGAAACACTTTAAAATCACATTATCAGGGAGTCTGGCAATGCTGGAGTCAAGATCAACAACTCAAATGGGCACCTGTCACTCGTGCATCAATGTTATTTCTCAATCTCCTATTCTACTCTGTACTTCCTCCATGGTTTTCAAAGGTCCTCCCTCCAGCTTTTCTTAAGCGCTGCAATTCTGTGCCTTGCTCATACTGGACTGACAAAACAATTTATCACATAGCAATTCCCTTATATTCTCTGACCAAGTCTATAAACTCCTGATCCCAGCATCCATCCTCACCTCCTTGAGCTACAAGAGGAAAAGTCCCTCCTCCTTACAATGCCGATCCTTTCTAAGGTTATCAGGATCCCATCCTTTTCAGGGACTTTGCTCCTTTGCATTTCTCCTCTCATGTATTTTCAATCTTTCCTTCGCTTCTAGAGCAACCTCCCCTTGACTCCAACCCTACTAACTACATCTTATTTCTATGCTTTCTTTCTGAAAAGGAGTCAGGCTTCCTCCTTGAAATAATTAGGTCAGTTTGTTGTCTCCCCTTCCTCACTTACATTTCATTCAACTCACTCCAATCTGGCTTCTGCCACCACTGATACTGTTCTTGCAGTCCTTGTGTGGTGCAGTTAAGTGCTCGACAATTAACCAAAAGGTTGGTGATTCAAACCCACCCAGAGGCACCTCGGCAGAAAGGCCTGGTTGTCTGCTTCAGAGAGTCCATAGCCTTGAAAACGCTATGCCATACAATTCTACTCTGCACACATGGGGTCACCATGACGTAAAATCAACTACAAAGTAATTGGTTTGGTTTTGGTTAAGGTCAGCAATGATCTCTATGTTGCTAAATTCAATTAACAATTTTCTCATTTTAGGACATATCTCAGCAGCTCTCAATCTAGTTTATTAAATTCTCTTCTCACAACTCTTGTGACAATCCTCATGTTTTCTTAGTACCTCCCTAGCTGAAATTCCTCCCTGTTGTTGTTGTGTGCCTTCGAGTTGATTCTGACTCAGTGACCCTATAGGACAGAGTAGAGCTGCCCCACAGGGTTTCGGGGTTGTAATCATGAAGATTACATAAAGGGAGCAGACTGTCAGATCTTTTCTCCCATGGAGCTACTGGTGGGTTCAAACTGTCAGCCTTTTGGTAAGCAGCCAAGTGCTTAACCGTTGTGCCACTAAGGCTCCTAATCATCTCCCTACAGAACCACTAGATGGTAGAGTTTCTTGGAGCTTGATCCACTGTCGTCCTCTTCTCTACCTTCTCTCCCTAATTCAACCATTCATTCCCAGAATTTTCAATTCTGTGTGTCAGTGACTTTCAATGTGCCAAGGCTCTCAAATAATGAATGCTAACACACGTTAGAGTTAGACCCAAGCTACTCAAGAACAGAGACTATGTTCTTCAATTATCAGGTTTATGGGAGTTTAGGAAACAATTTATAATTGACTTCAACACAGACTTCTCATCTCAGCTCAAGACTGTTAGCAGTAAACTTAAATTATCCAACTAATTAGTTCCTAAACCAAAACCAAAAACCAAACTCAGAGACCCCCTCCTTGGGTTTCCAAGGTGGTATCACTATGGAAGTAGATTGTCCAATCTCCCTTCTGAGGAGTGGCTGGTGAGTTTGAATCGCCAGACTTCTGGTTAGCAGTCGAACACCTTGGGCACCACGTCACCAGAGCTCCCATTAGTTCCTAAACTGACCTCTAATCCATCATCCCCGCGCCCCCCCCCCCCCAAAAAAAGAACACTGAGCTTCCTTAATCTTAGAAAATGACACTTTCATTCACGTAGATGCTCAAACCATAAACTGGTAGGATTCTTTCATACTTCATTCTCTCCCTACCCCCAATCAATCCTTCATTAAGATCTACTGAATCTACTTCCAAGATGTCTTTCATTCTATTTTCTGCCATCTCCTCTACCACCAACCTAGTCTAGTCTTGTTATTGTTGCTGTTATATGCCTTCGAGTCAGACCCGACTCATAGCAACCCCTCCTTGGGTTTCCGAGGCAGTATCACTACGGAAGTAGGAATGCCCAACCTTCCTTCCGAGGAGTGGCTGGTGGGTTTGAACCGTCAGCCTTCTGGTTAGCAGTCAAGTGCCTTAGGCACTATGCTACCAGAGCTCCTTGTTGTTCACTATCATCCCCAATAACTAGTATGGTGTCTGGTACTTAGTTGGTGTTGGGTGCTGCTTAGTCATTTTCGACCCCATGTGATAGCGGTTTTCTTGGTTATAATATTTATGGAAGTGAATCATCAGTTCTTTCTCCTGCAGAGTGGCTGAGTAGGTTTGAACCACCAACTTTTCAGTTAGCAGCCAAGCACTTAACCATCTAAACCATCAGGGTTCCTTAATAGACTCGATAAATGCCTGCTGAATATTTCTCAGCAATAAATATACTGTTTATTAAAGGCACACTCACAGTTTTTTTTAGAAGAGACACCCTTCCAGTGGCAAAACCAATTCCTTGAACAAGGTAACAAGATACTTCACAGCGTTGGCCACTAAAAGGTATCCTTTCCACTCTCCCCAAGTGTTTGGGGCAGTTGCAAAAAAGTCTCCCCATTACAACAACCAACAGGAAAACAATGGCCAGAATGAATACTGTGAGGCTTCTAGCAAAGGTTGTGACTCTGGGAAGCAAAGGTTACAGGAAATAAACTAATAGGAAAGCAAATGAAGACTCTCATAATTCATTTTTTTAAAAAAAGCCACATGCATTTTTTATTTCATTTATTCAACACAGCACCTACCAATGTGCTGAGTGTTTCATTCTGTTATACATAGGGACACTAAGAGTCAGAGCCAACTCTAGGACACTTAAAAACAACAAATGTGCTGAGCACATGTTATGCAATGCTAGGATAGTATCTCACCAATATAAAAATTATTTATTTAAATGAGCAAAGGTTAGCTGTCAGTACTCTAGATTTTGGAGGATAAATTCAAAGGTACCAACTAGAACTAAGTCCTCTAAGTTTAATATTCTTTACTCCAATACTCAAAAAATATCTATGAAAAAGCAAAGATCTATAAGGTTATCTTCTTAAAAGCTGAACCTATCTTTGCTCTCCCTAGTCTACAGAGCTTTAATTAAAAAATCTCCAAATTGCGTACAACTCTCTCCAAAAATCTGAAAGTACACTATTTTAGTCTTGAATAAATCCTAAACTGTGGCTTGAAAGGGTGGTGGCTCTGAAAAAACTAGTAGGACTGCCAACTCACCACTACGCAAAGTAACGCCCCTTTGCAATGTTCTATTTGAAAAGAACAGGATACGACAATGTAGAAGCGTCTAATAGTAACGATATTTTCCTTTAAATCCGCAAATTCTGTTCTCTAAAATACAGTACGTCCTACAAATCTCATCTCCAATCTCAACTACTGATCAAAACCGTGTCTTCGGAAAATTGCATTCGCATTTATTGTCGATCAGGAGAAAAAGCAACACCGGATCCTGGAGAATGAGCTAACAAACCTAAGAATTGTCGAGGCTTTTTCAAAGTTCCAAGGACTGTACATAATGATAAATTAAAAGTCCCACACTTTCTTGGACAACCTGGAAAGCAGACTGGGCCAGACTAGACTAGACTTTCCCAGAACCCTTGTCACTGCCCTGTATAGCAAGCAATAAAAAGAGCAACAATCTAGATTTACAAAATTATCTTGGATTCATATCCCGCGTAAAAGGTTAGAGGAAAGGAAAGGCAATGAGAGGGAGAAAACGAGTTCTCTAAGATTCAACAATGAAAGAACATAAATTCTCTCAAGATTAACAAGGGCAGGACGTAAGGGCAAAGAAACCTTTGGGCCTTTAACACTCGGGACCCCAGCATTTCCCTCCACCCTCCAAAAATAATCGAGAGTAGAGTAATGCTTTCCCTGAGGCTGAGAGAGCAGAACAGACGCGCCTCCCCGGACGAGGCAGCTCTCCGCGCCTCACCGCCTCTCCGGCCCCAGCCACTCCGTGTTACCTCCGGTGATAAGAAAGTAAGACACCACCACCAGAGCGTATACCGTCATGGCTGACGGCATGTGCACCCAGGGCGGCTTCTTCAGCTTCAGGTTGGGGCATTCGAGCACGAAAAACGGGACTCGGTACAAGGTCTCCATATTGGTGGCCGCAGGGACGACTCTCGGCCTCAAACCCCACGCGCCACCCGGAAATAGCCCCGCCCTCCTTTTCTCCAGCGCGTGCGCGGGGGGGTCCGTAAAGCTCGGAGGTAGTGTTCTATGGGTATATTTACCTATATAAGAAAGCAAGAAACTACATAAAATATATAAATTATATGAATAAATTCTATTTATTATTTAATATTTTTATACTTCACTAAGAAGAATATCTGGAGTTAATGGCTAACGAATTAAACAGATCATTTAGGATTCTTCCAGGACCTGCAAGGCTTCAGACGTGGCCAAGCTAGAGAAGCAGAGGGAACCAAATCCATTCTGAGCTCCGCCCATCTGCTGACGTAGAGGATTTAAAAGCTGATTGGACGTGGGACGCTCTAAGTTCCCAGAGCTACAGGATGAATGGGAGGGTTTGAAAACCTCTGTCTTTTCTACTACTGGATTTTTTTTTCAAGGAACAGAAGCTGGAGGCTGTTGAGCTTTTACTTCCCGGTGTAGCAGTGTTGATAATCATAACAATAATAATGATTACTATTCTAATGATGATGATGTTGTTGATAATTGCTAAAATAGCGGATTGTAGTTTTTTTTAAAATCTCCACCCCAGATCTATCACAGTTGTTGACTTCTCCACAAAGATGCAAAATGTTTACATCCCTGCTATTGCTATAGCCCAGGCAAGAGATGATCATAGTTCACATCACAGTGACATTAGTGGAGTGGAGAGAAGTGGGTAGAGGGGATATTTTTTTTCTGGTAGTAAAGCCAAAAAGACCTGCTCGTGTTTTGGACGAGGAGGGTTAGTAAGGACAGAAATGAAATTACTTCAAGATTTTTGGCCTGGATCATTTGCCATTTCCCAAGATAGGGATGGCTGAAGGAGGAGCAGGTCGCAGGGAGGACAGGAGTTGTTTAGAATATATGTTTTGATCATGTTAAGATATGAGTTAACATGTTAAGATATCAGTTAACATGTTAAGATATCAGTTAACATGACCAAAATAGTATTCTAAATAACTCCTGTCCTCCCTGCGACCTGCTCCTCCTTCAGCCATCCCTATCTTGGGAAATGGCAAATGATCCAGGCCAAAAATCTTGAAGTAATTTCATTTCTGTCCTTACTAACCCTCCACGTCCAAAACATGATCAGGACTTTTTGGCTTTACTGCCAAAAAAACATCCCCTCTATGCACTTCTCTCCATTCCACTAATGTCACTGTGATGTGAACTATGATCATCTCTTTCCTGGGCTATTTCAATAGCAGGGATGTCATCGTTTTGGAACTCTCAATATAACTATTGAATTATTGAGGGATTCTGAAACCCCTGGAAAAAAGGCTCTTGGGAAGCAGGATATTCATAAGGTCTCAGAGGTACATCACAAGGTTTCTTATTAATTAGAGAGGATCTTATCCAGAGAGATCTTGACATTACTACCTCACCTCACCAAATGGTCCAGCTCAGCACCACTAGTAATAAGAAGTCCTAAAGACATGGGCCTCCTGATTTAATCAATGGGAAATAAACCTAGCAGACTCTTGTCAGGAATATTTGGCCTGAATTTATTACAAACAGTTAGACAAATTCAGGATGTGAGATATTCTGCAAGATTCTTCAAAGCATCCAGTGTTAGGAAGAACAGGGGGAGATACTTTTCTCAATTGGAAGATAAAAAGAACAATAATCAAAATGCAGTGGGTAAATCTTGACAGGGTTCTAAATTTAAAATAATAATAATAAAAAAATAGCTTGTCAGGGCATTTTGGTACAATTGGGGAAATTTGAGAATTAACCATGTTGGATGATGCTACTGCTAATGTTGGTTTTCTTACGTGTGATACAAATGCACTGGTTGTATAGGAATTTGTCTTTGTTTTGGGGAGTGAATGTTTTTGTCCCTAAAATATTTGAAGGTGGAATGTCACAATGCTTGCAACTGACTGTGCAATAATTTAACAAAAGATTTGTGTGTGTGTGTGTGTGTGTGTGTGTACAGAGTAAACAAATTCTGACTCATAGTGACCCTACAGGACAAAGTAGGGTTTCAAGGCTCTACTTTTTACAGAAGCACATTGCCATATCTTTCTGGAGCAGCTGAGGGGTTCAAACCATCATCTTTTCAGTTAGCAGCCGAGCACTTTGACCACTCCACCACCAAGCCTGTTTGTGTAGAGGGAGAGGTAGAGAGAGATGGAGCAGGTATACCAAAATATGAAGAGATGGTGAGTCTAGGAAAGATATATGAGAACTCTTGTACTGTTCTTGTCATTTTTGTATGGTATGAAATTTTTCAAAATAAATTACTAAAATGTAAATTGCAAAATCTTGAACTTACAGGTAAAACTAAAGAAGAAATAATTTGTGGCTGAACTAATTTGGGTCAATTATAACACAAAGGACATTTTCTTGTAGTGACTTAAAAAAAAACATGCAGGAAGAGATAGCAAATCTTTGGTGTTTTCGGACATAACATACCATTAGAAGTTATAAGTTTTAAAACCTTGAATGTCTATATTTCTTCTTATTTTTTCGATGATACTTATTTCTAATTACTCCCAAATTTTATTTTGGAACACCTGGAGGAAAAGGGGGAAAGCTGGGGTGATGGTGGGCTGAAAGTGGATATAAGAGGATTTGGAGGTTCTAGAAATGTCTGTTTCTTGATGTAACTTCCACATGTAACTTGAAATCCTGGTTACACAGGTGCATTCTCTTTATGGAAATTAATCTAGCTGTGCTATTTCTATTCTTCTCTGCATGCGTACTTAAATAAAATTTACATTGAAATGATTGAAAAAGAGAAAGAAAAGAAAAAAATTCTCTGTGTGTTTTGTCTTAGAATAATTAATATGCTACAGACTTTTCTCAAAGGCTGTCATGTGGTGTTTTAAAACCCAAGCAGAAGCAAAAACTATCAAAGATTAGGCAGGGATTTAGACCCTTCTGTGTGATGTCAGTGGGCTTGGTTTGGTTTGTGATGAAGTAGATGTTCTTTTTGAAGTTTATTTAAACTGCCGAAGAACTTTTTTATTAGCAAACTAGCTCCCAAATGGAAATACTCCATTTGAGCCATTTGCAACCCAAATGAAGAAATTGGGGAAGACAAGATAGCCTAAGGAGCTCTAGCGGTGTAGTACCTAAGGTCTTTGCTCACCAGAAGGCTGGTGGCTTTGAACCACCAGCCACTCCTCAGAAGAAAGACTGGGAACTCTACTTCCATAGAGATACCACCTTGGAAATCCAAGGTGAGGTCGCCATGAGTCGTATTTGATTCGATGGCAGTGAGGTGTGGTTGTTTTTTTTTTTTTTTTTTAAGATAGCCTAAAGATACTTTGTTTTTTATTTGTCTGTTTTTGCAAACAAAGTTGCAGTTAATACCCTTATGTATATTTCCAGGATGATGATGATGTTGTTATTGTTGTTATGTGCCCTCGAGTGGGCCCTACTCATAGCGACCCCTCCATGGTTGCCGAAGCAGTATCACTACCGAAGTAGATTGCCCAGCCTTCCTTCCGGATGTTGTTGTTAGGGACCATCAAGTAAGTCAGTGTCGACTCATAGTGACCCTACATCATTTCTCCATTTTTCATGAAGAACAAAACACTGCCTGGTCCTGCACCATTCTCACAATTCTTGCTGTGCTTGAGCCCATTGTTGCAACTACTGTGTCAATCCATCTTGTTGAGGGTCTTCCCCTTTTTCGCTGATCCTCTACTTTACCAAGCATGATATCCTTTTCCAGGGAATGGTCCCTTCTAACAACATGACCAAAGTAAGTGAGACGAAGTCTGTCCATTCTTGCTTCTGAAGAGTGTTCTGGCTGTACTTCTTCCAAGACAGATTTGTTAGTTCTTCTGGCAACAACAAAACAACAACTCACTGCTGTCGAGTCAGATCCGACTCATAGTGACCCCTTCTTGAGTTTCCAAACCAGTATCACTACAGAAATAGATCACCCAATCTTCCTTCCGAGGAGTGGCCGGTGGGTTTGAACCACCAGCCTTCTGGTCAGCAGTCAAATGCCTTAGGCACTCTGGCAGTCCACCATATTTTCAATAGTCTTCTCCAACACTACAATTTAAAGCCATCAATTCTTTGGTCTTCCTTATTCATTGTCCAGCTTTCATATGCATATGAGGCTGTTGTAAAGAGCATGGCTTGAATTAGGCACACTTTAGTCTTCAAAGTGACATCTTGCTTCTTAACACTTTAAAAAGTTCTTTTGCAACACATTTGCCCAGTACAATAAACCCTCTGATTTCTTGACTATTGCTTCCATGGGCATGGATTGTGAATCCAAGTAAAATTAAATCCCCGACAAATTGACTTTTCTCTCCATTTATCATGATGTTGCTTATTGGTCTAGTTGTGAGGATTTTTGTTTCTTTATGTTGAGTTATAATCCATACTGAACACTGTAGTCTTTGATCTTCATCAGTAAGTGCTTCAAATCATCTTCACTTTCAGTAAACAAGGTTGTATCATCTGCACATTGCAGGTTGTTCAGTATTTTTCCTCCAATCCTGATGCTGTGTTCTTCTTCATATAGTCCAGCTTCTCGGATTATTTGCTCAACATACAGACTGAATAAGTATGGGGAAAGGATACAACTCTGATGCACACCCTTCCTGATTTTAAACCATGCAGGATCCCCGTGTTCTGTTCTAATGACAACCTCTTGGTCTATTTACAGGTTCCACATGAGCACAATTAAATGTTCCGGAATTTTCATTATTTACAATGTTTTCCATAATTTGTTATGATCCACACAGTCAAATGCCTTTGCATAGTCAATAAACCACAAGTATAGATCTGTCTGGTATTCTTTGCTTTCAGCCAAGATCCATCTGACATGAGCAATGATATCCCTGATTTCATGTTCTCTTCTGACTCCAGCTTACATTTCTGGAATTTCCCTGTCAGGAGCTCTGGTAGCATAGTGCCTAAGGCATTTGACTGCTAACCAGAAGGCTGCTGGTTCAAACCCACCAGCCACTCCGTGGAGGGAGAGTTGGGCAATCTACTTCCATAGTGATACTGCCTT